CCGCTAAAGCGTAAGTTCCCAAAAGGATCCCATAAAGAGAGTGACTGGAGAATGAAGTGTTTTCTGAAACTCTCTGGGCTTAACTGTTTATTATTATTTTCTAGGGGACATTTGGTAACGCTGAGAAGTCAGCTTCTACAGTACAGCAATGTCAGGTCAGAGACTGTCAGGAAAGATTCGTGGTCTAGAGTCGTTCTTCACTGCTTTGGGGTTCTTATGGTTGGATAGGTGAACGTAAGTCTTCAATCCACTCGGCGAGGGCACCACAGAACCTTAACTGTTTTGTTTCGCACCTACAGCTCATCTACAGATCTCTCACCCCTAGGAGAGAGTTAACTGGAACATTCATGATTCTCACAAGATTTGTGATGGCTATTGTCATTGTTTTCCTAAAAATCTGATGAAAGCTCTATGAGGTATGAAAGGGATCTTATACTTAATGAACTTGAGATATCTCGGAGCATTTCAAACTATCGTAGGCAGGAATAAGGCATCAGAAGTAAATACTGGATTGCAATCTACTCTACAGAAGCAGACCTTACAGAATTAACTAGCTAGGAGGCTTGACGTAGTTTTAAAAAGGAGGAAAAAGAAAAAGCCCTCTGAAATTTATTGTATTCTTACTATTTTAGTTAGTAACTGACTAAAAACTGGATCCTAGATGAAAATGCTAAGACTCAGCTGTGGTACTGAATTAGTTTAGAAAGTTAGAGACCTTATGTGGAGTGGGAAATTAAAGATTTGCCTCTTTGACAGGCTCCAGGCAAATGGTGACAATTGTACAGATGAACTGAATGTGTACAGCCCAAGGAGTAAGCACAGATCAACACGTAGAAAATCAATTTCAATATACTAAACAAGTAAAGCCTCCTTTAGCCTTTAAGCACTGATTCAAAAAGGTCCTAATTTCTAAATGTTTCCCTTGTGGGCCAACGGGCTAGTTGCTGCGGTCAAAAGTCTATAATTGGTCATTTTATTTCAATTAGGTCAGTGAGAATGCCCCTTTCTCTTTAGCAGCCCAAATTCTCATTAAAGATTTTAATGGATGATAAAACTTACCTTAAAATTAACTAGAAAACTAAAGTATGACCAGAAAATAATATATAACACTAATATTATTGAATGAAACTTAATCTTGACAAATAGCTATACAGTCTCTAGTTAGTTACATGCTGCCAAAGACACAGCCTGCAAATTTGTAAGACTCAAGTGTGTGCCCCTCCCCCACCTCCCTCCATCAAATCCATAAGCACAATCAATCCTTGAGAAGACATCAAATAAGAGGCTTGATATTTTTCTACCACATTAACAATTTATCAGGAACACACTTAGCAGATTACGAGTGACTGATAAAATGCTCTTAACTTTGAGAATCCCCACATATCCTTAGGCAACATCTGTAATTTCAGAAAACCGCTGTACAAATCCTCCTTAAGTGTGAGAAGAGGCAACAGCCCTCATCACTGTCCTCTTCACACTTCGATCCTTTCAATCACAATTTGAGCTGCAGGCAGGATTAGCATTTACTCATCTAGTTGGACTAGAATTTTCCACAATGCTCCATTTTCTCCCTAGCTTTAACACATTTGTTTGGCATGTCTGTTCCCAAACACTAAAACAAGAGACAGTCTTTAGACTGTTAAGTTGCAATTTCCTAGGGTTTCTGCTTTATTTATTCCCTGGTATCCACAGCAGAAGTGAGAGGTATAACTTAACAGATGAGAATTTCTTCTACAATGAAGGCACTCTGTATTCCATCATACTAGAATAACTCAACTATAATTTCCATACAGTTTAAGACAACTGAAGTATTTGGTATCAACTACAAGATACCTGATAAAGTAAATATAATGACTTATCGATGAAGAGAATGGAGCTGGTATTTCAGCGATGACCTTTTCTAGCCATTTACAACTTACTTGAATCTCAATACAATTGAGTAGAAAGGAAAACCAAAAATGCTGTATGCACCTTTAACAATGTTCTTGCATTCTGATATACAAACCTCTCATTCTTTTCACGTGGTGTAATCAAATTCAATGTGTACCAACAGAAGAGATTACAATCCTTTCAGTTTAGTTTATAAAACTATACAATGAAGTTAATGAAATTTTGTGTTCCGATTATTCTAAAGAAAAACAGACTAAGAGAGAGAAAGGAAATGTAATATGAACCCAATGTTATTCTACGTAAGAATTTTACTTAAGATGCCATCAACCAATGGAGTGTGAAGGATTTGCTGACGAGTCTCATTCTTGTTTTTGAACAGTGGTACCCTCAGATGGTATTTTTATTAGTTTATGTCTCCTTTTCCCAATTGCACTTCCACATTTTGAAGTACTTTATCCCAAAAAAAAGTCCCTTCCCCCCATTTCCTTATTATAAGACTAACATCCTTTTCAGGCACAATTCTCTACTACTGAAAAGAAACTTTTGTGTTTTAACTTATAAGCTGTAACTGCTTTATCTTCCTTCCAAAGGATTACCAAACTAAGAAAGGATTTAATCAGAGATTTTCCCCTAAAATGAAAAAGGGAGAACAATTGCCCTAGGAACTATCTGAAAATGGGGTACTCTTTTCCTTTTATTCAGAATTTGCTTCACATTGTCAGATACTCTTTTAAAGAAGCAGGATATGAAAAAAATGCTCATAAAACCTCACCTATTTTTTTTAAATGTTTGAAATCTTTTTTCTTAATATGCTTGGTAAAATTAGTCTTTCAAAGAAATCAAAAAGCAAATCGAAATACCTCAAAGTTTTTTTTAAACCATAAATGAATAAAATCATAGGACTCCGGACATACACAACCACCACAGTAGTCTTTTCCTTTTCATATGCCGTTAAGTAACTTCAAGTGCAATGAAGAGCTAACAGCACGCACTTCTGGATCAGTTCACATTCAATTTGTAACCTTTTATCTTTTCTCACAAGAAAAATACACACTGATCCTGAACATATTAAAGTACATCTGTGCATTACATCCCTGCGCATTTTGGGTAAAGAAAAGTCAAACATTTTAGCGCTCCATGTAAACATTTGAACTATGAATTATTTATTAATTTCCCTTAAAGTACGTAGGAGTGTGTGTGTCACATATTCAAAGTGAACCTTAGAAATAGCACCATGACCAAAAAAACCCATAAAAACAATTCTCTCTAATCCCTTCATTTTACTTCAGAGCTTGAGAAGCTGTCCTCATCAGCCATGCTTTGAAAGCCACCAATTCTTGTTTTCTTCAGATGAAAACAGAATACTCCTATAAACAAGGGTCTAACCATTTTGGACAAAATGAAAAATTAGTAATTAGTTGACCAGCCAATCAATGAGTTAACTCAATCCAAAAGATAAGAATAGTTCTATTGATGAAGCCTACATGGTCAAAGTATCATTTTACCAAAAGAATTTATGTATTTATGAGTGTATTCCATATTTATTTATGGATTTTTTTGGTACCTTTTTGCAAATGATGGTAAACATGAAGTTATAACCCTGAGAATAGCTAGAAAACAGAGAAGCTTAAGAAGAGTTTAAATAAATTAATGGATATGACATCTATCACCATTCAAATTAGGAAAGTAAAGGGCATTCCATTAATTTTTTTCAGGTCAATAGTCAAGGAAAATTATCCTGTATCAAACTGTCTACTACACACTTAATACGAGCTTTGAGAAGAAGAGCATCAGTTTTGAAGTGGTGATAGCTCTCTAAACCAAAGGAGAGGCAGGAATCCCACCTGTTTAAGCTGGTAATGTCCAAAAATATCCTTCCCCTTAGAGCAGAAAGAGCAAATACCTCAGAGCAGAGGTATCAAAGCAGAAAGAGAAAATACCTCCTACCATGTCACCATGTCAAATGGGACAGATAATTAAAAAGCAACAACACTTAACGACATTCTCTAACACTGACACCAGACTCGAATGCTTTTCCGTATCTGCCACCTTAAGGATACACAGGAGAAAAGGGCGAATTTTGTCTGAAATCAAATAGTTAGGGCCAAAAAATAACAAAGGTAGGAGTACTGTGGCATACCCCTTGGCTACAAAATACGTAAACCATTTGAATCAAGTCCATCTTCAGGCACAAACAAGCTAGAAGTGGCCACCTCCACTGTTCGGAGGAGCACAACCTATCAAGTAAAAATATTTGGCTCGAAAAAAATAAGTGTACAATGGTACTTGATGATGTGATAAAAGTACTTTAAATGGATTTCAAAATTATTTTCCCATAAAACATGACAGTTTTTTAGATTTAAACTAGAGGTCAATAATAAAGATTCACTTAGTTGCCCAAGCAAAGAATGCCTGGGATTGCACATGGCAGCAGTTAAGTAAAAACAAAGAGATGGAGAATAACATTTAACTATTTTCCTATATAGATGAGATTTGTGATTGCACACTTAACAAAACTTAACCCTACAATTTCAATAAAAATGGGGGAACTACAAATAATTTAAATGCTCTCTTAGCCCTGTGCATGCTATTAAAGAACAAACTTTTCCTAAATCTAAGGCACACAAACTCCTCTATTTCACAGAGTAAGACTATGGAAGACCAAAAGTTTGGTTAAATCTCTTACATGGAAACCAGGAGGTCCTGGAAAGACAAATCATATAGCATTCTGTTAGTGCACAATTTTAAAGAAAAATGCTAGGACTATGGTCTGGCCTTAGAGGTTTAAAATGTACAAAGAAAACATTAAAAAAAAATAATTTACCAGCACTTTATAAATTCAAGTTTATAAAATAAAAGTGATGATATTTTCCCTAGAGAGAGAGGGAGAGGCAGAGAGAGAGAGAGAGAAAGGGAGAGAGAGAGAGAGAGAGAGAGAGAGAGAGAGAGAGAGAGAGAGACCGACCCAACAACATTGGAAAC